AGCTGGAGAATGGAGTTGGGGGGGACTTTCCCAGTGCAACAAGGCAGAGACAGTGGCCTGAGCAGTGCTTTCAGCAGGGACACTGCTGAGTTTCTTCTGGAGGCCACTGCGGTTTGCAGAAACCTCAACCCCCTGGTTAATGTCATGCAGCTGGTGTGTCCAGAACTCCCTGTCCCGTGCCCCAAGCACCTGCTGGCATTTACCAAGGCAGGTCGGTGAAGGCTTCTCCTGCGAGGGGGCAGTGAGACAGGGAGGCTGCTGGACCGTCTCCATTTCTGCTGTGTCAACTCCGAAAGGGCAGCCCCAGCAAACTGCTCCGACCTTTCCAGCCACCATGAAGCCACAGGCGGCTCTGCCTGCAGTGCCCCTGCTCCCAAATTCCCTCTCCACCAGCACTGGGACAGGGGCTGGTGGCTGCTTAACCAATGCATCTTTTTCCCTACATTTATTTGAGCTGCGTGTTACTTCCTCATGGACTTTGGTTTCTAGTTTGGACTAGATGGTGCTGGGTGAACACCAAGAGGCAGTGCTGAAGACCACGGCCTCTCCGAGGGATTTCCAGCTCGTCTGGGAAAAGGGGACCAAAAAAATGCTCCCAGAGCATCTTCCCCTCTGCTGCATTCCTGCAGAAATCCTCATACCACTTTTTGGGTGAGGTTTTTTTGTATCTTCGGTGTGGGGTCCTGCATGGCCGGCTCGTGGCTGCCAGTGCCTGGCCCTGGGGAGGTCGCGGGGAGGCAGGAGGCACTGGGTGCTCTGTCTGTGGGGCTGGCTCTGTCCTCCCCCCCTGAGGTGAGCCCCTTGGGGTAGGTTGGATCCTGCCTCTGCCAGCGCCATGGGAAGCTGGGCTCTGCTGAGACCCTGCGCAGCACCACACCATGGGTCGTGGTTTAACCCCAGCCAGCAACCATGGACCATGCAGCCGCTCTCTCACCCCCCAGTTTGGATGGAGGAGAGAATCGGAAGAGTAAAAGTGAGAAAAAACTCCTGGGTTGAGATCATAGAGTTGTCTGGGTTGGAAGGGACCTTTCAGACCATCCAGTCCAACCATCAGCCTCACTCTGATAAAACCATCACTAACCCATGGCTCTAAGCACTATGGCAACCCGGCTTTGAAATCCCTCCAGGGATGGGGCCTCAACCCCTTCCCTGGGCAGCCCATTCCAAGGCTTAAGAACCATTTCCATGGAAAAATTGTTCCTCATCTCCAATCTGAACCTCCCCTGGTGCAACTCAAGGCCATTTTCTCTTGATAAAGAAAGTTTAATAGGTAGAGCAAAAGCCACTGCGTGCAAGCAAAGCAAACCAGGGAATTCATTCCCTGCTTCCCACAGGAGGCAGGTGTTCAGCCATCTCCAGGAAAGCAGGACTCCATCACACCCAACTGTTACTGGGGAAGACAAACACCAGAACTCCACATGTCCCTCCTTTCCTTCTTCCTCCCCCAGCTTTACGTGCTGAGTGTGACACCACGTGGTGTGGGGTATCCCTTTGGTCAGTTGGGCTCAGCTCTCCTGGCTGTGTCTCCTCCCCAACTTTTTGTGCCCTCCAGCCTGCTCTTTGTCCAGGTGGTGAGAGGAGCAGAAAAGGCCATGATCACTTAGCAACAGCCCAAAACTCCACTGGGCTATCGTTAACTCCATCCCAGCTGTGTCCCCCGTGACACCATAAGCCACGGGGAAGCCCTCAGGAGAGCACGGGGCTCCAGCAGCCTCTCCAGCCTCCTTGGCCTTGGCAAATGCTATCGCTCCGTGCAGGATTCGGGTTGGAACTGGCTTTTCTTGCTGCTCTGCCTCTCCCAGTCCTCCTGGGTTTCTCTGTGCCTGGGGCTCCGTGTGTGTGATGCCTCCAGGAGAGGAGGCGTGGGAGCATCCCAAGGTTGGGAGCATGGAGACGGGGACAGCAGCAAGGCAGGAGTAGGACAGGAGCTCCTGGGAGTGACAGCGGGAGGGGATGAGGATGGTTTGTGGGCTCAGGGCTGCTTTCCCAGCCGAGGGATGGTGTGTGTGTGTGTGTTTTAGCCAGGGATTCCTTGCGGGGAGGCAGGGAAGTCACAAGGAGGGCAGTAAATTGTGGGACGAGCTTCCCTCCCAGCACAGACCAGCGGGTGCTCCTCGCCGGCGCTCGTCCCCGTCACACCATGTGTCACCATCACCGGGTCAGGTCACAGGAGTGTCTCCAATTAACCCAGCTCCCTGGTGGCCCTTAATTGGCACCCCAGGCTTTCCTCCTCCTCCCTCCCTCAGCACGTGTTTCTCACCTGTACGGCTGCTGCTAATCCCCTGCTCCCAGCACCCCCGCCACTGCTGGGAACGGGTGGCAATAACCCAGATTTGCCCCCTAAATCAAGGCAGCCACCACTCCCTGGCTTGGAGCAGTGTCCTGGGGGTGTTCCTGCTCAGCCCCCAGCATCAGGCTGTGTGGTGGGAGGGGGGCTTGTGGCTGTGGGGCCCAGCACTGGGCTCGGGGATGGGTAAAGGCTTCAGTGCAGTGGGGCTGGGAAGCTCCGGGATGGTTTTTAGGAGGATACTTGCTGGGATGGCTCAGGACGGAGGAGAGATGGCTGCTGCTCCCCCTGTGTTGAATACCACTGGGCTGGACACGTGTAACCCTCTGGGTGATGATCCCAGAGATGAGCCATGTGCCTGGATGGGAGCATGGCTGTGGGAAGTCCTGTCCTGTCCCAGGTTTTCTGCTTTGCCCTGTCGTAGCACAGGGCTCGGGGTGAGTTCTGGGAGCATTTAGGGCTGTCCCACAGCACCACAAGTGCTTTGGGCATGGCTGGTACCCACTGGCTGCACATCCTCCTCCTGCTGGGTCACCTCATCTATGGACGTATCTGATAAATGGGTCTTCATCCTGCTGCTTTGGGAACAAAAGGGGGCCATCAGCTGAAGGACTGTGCCTCCCTGCAGGTCTCTCCCCACCATAGTCCTGTCACCAAGGTGTCTGCAGCCCCCCCAGCACACCTGCGTGAAGGTAAAGGTGATGACCCCATTGAGACGTGGAGAAACTGAGTCTGAGCAAGGCAAAGGAGCTCTTGAGCAAGTGCCAGCCCTGAGAAAAGATGAACACCAGCAGGATGGGAATGGCTGGTGGCTGGGGGAGAGGGCACAGTGATTTTGGGGAGAGCAGGAGGATCACGTGGAGGGAGGAGATGGAAGCTGGAGCATCCTGTGGGGGAGGATGAGACACTCTGGCTCTTCTTCACCCGAGACAGCCTGGCTGGGGTTGGGCATGGCAGGTCCAGAGGTGCCCATGCCCGTGGGGTTCTCCCAGCCCTGTTCCTCTGCCCCCTGCCCCATGGGACCCCTCCCGAGGTGGGGCCAGCAAGGACCTGTCCCTTTTAAGCCCTTGGAGCTGTTGCCAGCCGTGGCTTAGTGGGGTCCCCATCCTTTCAACTGGCTCTTCGGCAAATTAAGAGCTTGCTATTAGGCTGCTAATTAAAGGCACTTCATTAGCAGCAGGGGAGGCAGCTCCTGGCCGCAGCAAAATTGGATTCCTCTGAGCTGCCATGAGCCGAATCTCTCCTCTCTGGGGCTGGGGGCTGTGCCCCTCTGTGTCCCTCCATGGCCGGGGAAGGCAACTGCCCTGAGCCATGCCCGTGTGGGTGCCAGCCCTCCTACCCAAATCGCAGAGGGTGCCCCACAAATCTCACAGGGTAGGAGAGGGGCCAGGGGGTGATGTGGGGCTTCCCCTTTGCCCCCAGCCCCGGGGGGGGGGATGCAGGGATGCTGCCCCTTGTCCCCGGGGCTCCCCCCGTTTGGAGGGGACATGCGGGGGTCTCTCAGCAGTGACAGACCATCACACCGGTGGTCTGGCTGTCCCCAGGCCTGGCCGTGTCCCCTCAGGGGGCTGGACAGCCCGGAGGTGCCCGCCTGCCTTTGCCACCTCCCCAAACCCTCCCGGCGACTGGGGGGGAGGCCCCCGGACTCCTCCTCCGGCCGCTCGGGAGCCTCCAATGAGCCCCGGGGGCACCCGGGCCGCCTGCCCTGCCCTTCCCTGCCTTCCCTTCCCTTCCCTCTCTTCCCTCTCCCCCTCCTTCTTCCACCTAAAAATGGGAGAGACGAGCCATCCCGCCGGCCCGGGGCTGTCTTCCTCCCCCTCACCTCCTCCTCCTCCTCCCTCGCCCCGCTCCAGCAGCAGCCTCCCCTCGACGGCCGGCAAAGGGACCCCTCAGCCCGGCGGGGACATCACTGGGGTGAGCTCTCTGCGGGCTTTTTTGGGGGGGCTGCCCTATCCCTGCTCCCCATCTGCCCCATCCCTGCTCCCCGTCCGCCCCACGGTGTCCCGTGTCGCCGTGTCGTGTCCCCCCCTCTCCCCCGCC